ACGCACGCGACTGTCAAAATCATACCTGCAGAGCACACAGACACACACACACACCTCACCAGTCTGATCATCCTTGTGAGTATGGTCATGACCCACTGAAATTAAATTCAGATGATGAGGAGTTCAATGTTCACGTGTCTAAGAGTGAGAGTGCTGTGTTGCACATTCTGCCCACTAAAACCATGCAGTGTATGAAAGTCTGCACATGGACCAGAAACAAAGACCATGTCACAGTGTGAGTGTGTCTGAGTATGTCTGAGTATTTCTGGTGTGACCGAGAATGTCTGAGTTAGTCTGGGTGTGTCTAAGTCTCGCCACATTTTTAATATCCATGTCACCTAACAACATGTGTCATGAGTCAATATGTGGATCTGAATATTCCAAAGATGTCACCTAGACATTCGCTATGACGTCATAGTAAACCACACCATGACTGCGTTGACCTACCTGCAACATTGTGAACACGCCAGATGTCAAAAAGCAGTGTTGCATTGTGGGAAGCGTCAAAAGTCATCTGGGGAAAAAAATGAGAGAGAAAATAAAGCGAGTAACTGAGAGAGTGGGAGCAAGGCCTGGTCAAGGGTTTGGTCAAGGGTCTGGTTATGGGTCTAATCAAGGGCCTAGTCCAGGCATGGCCAAACTAAGGCCCGGGAGCCGAATGAGGCACATTCATCTTTTTAATCCGGCCCGCCAAACCTTTTCAAATTATCTAATTTATTTATAATATCATTATATTCTACCTTTTTCCTGCAATATCCATGTTTCCCCAATAGATGGCGTAGAAAATGATAAAAGCATTTTATCCTTTATGCATGACTTTTATCTTAGTTTGCACAAATGCTCTATCTCTCTGCTCTTGACCCGACCCCCCCAGTTCGATTTTGGGACAATTGTGACCTGCAAGTCAAAAAGTTTGCCAAGGCTTGGCCTAGTCAGTGTCACACACACTGACTTTACAGGGCAGTATTATGCAGGAAATAATCCAGTTTCATTTACAGAGGAATTCACTGTGAGGGTGTGTGAGTTATACAGTCCAAGAGTCTAGAACCTACAATTAAGTGACGGACGAAGTTATCAATTCATCCAGGAAATCAATAGTGACAGTGGTAAAAACACCCAATCAGGGTGCATAATCAGCAGAACACTGTGACCTCTGACCTCCCCCTACAAAAGCTGACTTTGGGTATACTGTTTATATGATTAATGTTTTGCTTCTATATTCATATTTAAATAATGGGCAGTAACGTCATAACATGAGTGATTGGTGCAAACATTTATGAGCCATAACCAAAGACACACCCATAATGCACTGCTGCAAGCCAAATGAGGCTTAACGTGTTTCTTTTCCATGGTGCTCGTACAGGATGATGTATTTATTAAAAACAACATAGACAAACATTTACAGTGTGGAGTAGTCTTAACCTAGCTCAGGACATGGCTGTGTTTGTTTTTAAGGTGGTCTTTAGTGTGGGGCAACACAGACAGGAAGGTTTGGAGAAAAAGCTAGAGAAGCCAGATTGAGATGGTTTGGACATGTGCAGAGGAGGGACAGTGGGATACAGTGGTAGAAGAATGTTAGAGATGGAGCTACCAGGTAGGAGACAAAGAGGAAGGCCAAAGAGGAGATATATGGATGGAGTGAGGGAGGACATGCAGATAGTTGGAGTCAGAGTAGAAGATGCAGAGAACAGGGTGAAATGGAAAACGACGATTCACTGTGGCAACCCCTGAAAAAAGGGACAAAGCTGAAAGAAAAAGAAAGAAAGATAGAACTAATCCACATTCTTACAGTAGCAGGACCTATTTTTACGAATTTCGTGAGTCCAACACCTGCATGTCCCACTGATGAAGACCATATTTGGGTTTGAACCTAAGTGACACTAGGGCTTGGTTTAAACCGCAACTAACACTAACTCTGTTATTGGTTTTGGATGAACACAATCAGAAAATTAATAAAGTACAGTACATCAGAAACTTAAATTAATTAACTAAAGTTCTCATTTGCCTTTTATGTTTTAAAATATTTTAGTCTGGAAAAAAAAGCCCTCTTGTATTAGAACAGTGACAACAAATACCTAAGAGTGCACAGACCCAAAATGTCTAGATTTTATTAAATCAGTCATTCTTTGGTGGCTAACTAGTCAAAATATTAAGGAAAGGAAAGGAAAGTGAACTACTTGTTATTGTGACACAGCACACCACTGCACACAACTCATCCCTAAAGTCAACAGTGGGCAGCTTTAAGCACCCGGGGAGCAGTGTGTGGTGTCGTTGCCATGCTCAGAGCACCTCAGTGATAACTTGGCAGCTGGTGGATTCAAACTTGATCTTCCGCTTCCTTAACCACCAAGCCACCACTGCTCCATAAAATATATATTAGTAATATGAATATATATTAAATTAATAATATATGTATATATATATGTTATAATAAAATATTAGGCGAAAAGTACAAGCATGTGCAGAAAAAGGTCACGTGTTCATCAAACATTATTACAGATGCTTCACACGTGAGCTTGTGTTTATCCATTCAAGTTGTTGCGCTTTCCTGTCACCACATCACACTGGAGCTGGTGACAATCCTGTTCTTTCCACTCAGTACAGTACAGTACAGTCCTTAAATGGTGACTATGTTCTGGCCTCTTCCATTAAATACATTTGACTACATCAGTGCATTAATAACTTTAAACAGGTACCTCAACTATCACAGCATAGTACTGTACAAGCTGAAGCCCGATGTTTTTAATCAGTGTTTTGGTGTTCGACCTGCACATTTAGTGAGGTCACAGTTCTGCTGACTCAGAGAAAATAGCAGGGTGAAAGTGAGGTTATCACGAGTAAAGATGACCCAACATTTAGCACAGGCTCAAGAAGTCGAACAAGGAAGAAATACCTCTAAGCAATCAGGAAGTTTGGAAGCGAAATAACTAGTTCTGTATCCTCTTGTTTGCCTCCTTTGCAAATAAAATCTACATAATGTATGTATGAAGATTTGTTTTTTATGACTTTGGCTTAACTAAGTAATGCGGCTTGACATGACTAACATTTTAAGCACAAAATTGTGTAAAATTAACAATGAAGAAAAAAAAAAATCCGATAACCTGAAAAAGAAATCTGATAGTGCTACTTGTAGCTGCGTTAGATATCTGTTCTATCTGTTTCTGATGTTTCATATTAATAATATTTAAATATATTATGAGAACTATTTAAACAAAAAATAAATAGTATTTAACATTTAAGTATTTAAAAAAATCATTTTGTATCCGCAGTATACATGTAATTCTGTTAATAATGCTTCGTAAAAAACGTTTTGAGCGTGGTAACAACTACAGAAGACTGTTGCTGTTGATTTACTTAACTGTTCGGACAGCATTTACATTATTTCTCAAACACAGTGAAAGCCATTCGTTTACGTTATCAACTTATCACTGTTTAGTCGACCTTCCTTGAGAAATCTATTCACCGAATACGTTAGTTTCTGAAGTATTTTACACGTACCAATGAGTTATACATAACATCATTAATTTATGTTACTTTAGTAACATTACACTTTAAATAGTGTCGGTGGAGCAAATTCACAGGTGGAATTGTTTATGTTCACAGAATTTTTTTAACGGTCATGAAATTCAGAAATACACTAGCAACTTAGTTCAAACCTCAAAACTGACTGAACTTACAGGCATCATGTTGACGGGTGGCACGACAGTTAACGCCAATCTGTATCCGAGGTTCTGTCTCCACTCCCTGCATCACATACCCCCTAACGGCCCGAGCTATGCTGGAGCGTCCAGCTGCTGATTGCAGCTCCGTTACACAGGTGTGTACGTTTGGTTTTCTGTGGACGGTTTGTCTTTACAGCAGTAGGGCAATGTGCCAGTAATAAACACGAGGATGACGGTTAGTGTAGTTCTTTGAGGAACCTCCTACTAACTTAAAAGGCAGGACGTAGGGGGGTTAACGACCTAAACGGTAATTCTCATATCGTCCGACTCAGGTTCACATAACCACACACGTTCTCGCTAGAACACCGTTTTGGTAAAAGTTGTGTTTTACCGTATTTACAGTGTTTCACCGACCAGTGCTAGGTTTTTGTTAAAATAGTTTTCCATGCAAAGAACACAAAGGACGGCCATTTTTCCATAACACACAAGAACGCATGCGCTAAAGAAAGAAACCTCAGGAATGGAATGAAGTCACGTGACGGTAAAAAACAAAACAAAACAAGTTGGTGAAGGTAGGTGTGACTGAGCAGGAAAACAATAACTCCAGCTGACAGTAAAGTAGACGTATTTGGAGTAAACGTTTGAGATTACCATCCGGATATTTTACTGTATTTATAAAGAATAAATATATTAAAATTCTGTCAACCGGTTTAATCGGACACTGGATTTTGTGAAGTTTTTTAAATTACCCATATTCCTCCTGGATTTATGACAGCAGTTAACTTTCTCCTGACCGTTGTAACGTCTGAATCACATGATCTCTTTCATTTTTATTGAATGTGAATCATATAATATTATTTCCTCAATTAAAAAAACAGGGAAATGTTACTTCTCAAATTTATTTGGCTTATAAAAATGATAAAAAACGTGTTTTTTTAATGAATCTGTAGAAAAAAGAGACAAGTTTTCTTTCCACATAGCAGCTATACACGATTTTAAATTGAGTCTGTACATACGAAACTCAACTAATACACAACAAAGAGAATATTGTCCTCTGGAAATACAGTGTGTAGAAACACAACTAATACACAACTAGTAAAGAGAATATTGTCCTCTGGAAATACAATTTCAAAACAAAAGTTACACAAGTGCTGTAATTTTCAGTTGCATCTAGATGCAGGGGGCGCTCAGCACAGCCAGAACATACTGCTTAAACCTCCTATATCATCCACACTAAAGGATTTTTTTATGTAGACAAAGTTAAGAATTTACAATCAAACTGATCTACAGTTCTTCATTATTGTGACCATTTTAGCACCATATTTGAAATAGGTCTGGCAAGTTAAGAGCAGTTATAGGTAATATATTTTGCAGAGGCAGTAAACCATAACTTGACAATTAATCACAAAACCAACATGAGAACAAAGAGGACAAAAACCTGCTCACTGTGAGGAAACAGTGCAAACGTGTACCTGAGATTTTAAAAAAATACAAATACAAAATACAACTAACAAATTAAGACACATTATGTCCAATGCCGCTTTATACTGCACATCCCAACCAATGCTACCGACTCAGCAGATTCTGATACTGCAGACCCAGAGCTTGAGTGCGAGCCATGTGCCTGGAGGTGTGTTTCATCCTCTGAGCGGCTCTGATGGCTCTGTTTAGTGACAGGTCCAGGGAGCAAAGCTGGTCAGCTGAAAAACAGCGTCTCAGACCAGCCTCCGACTCCCTCTGACCCCCAACCTCCAATGGTGTGCTGGTGCTCTTACTAGGAGATAGGCAGAGTGGCAGTGAGTACAACCTGAAACAGAAGCAGGTTTGATCAGTATCAGATATACCTAGAATACAAATGATTGTGATGGTTGAGTGCCCTCACAAATCTCTGACAGATCACTTACAGGACTGGTTGTCCCAGTAACGTGCAGTGAGGCAGTGAAGTTGGAGCTGGAGCTGCAGCTGCAGACGGTCGTTTCTTTGTTCCTCCGTCTGAGGAGACGGCTGGTTGGTGGTTTATTTGTCTCAGAGAATCTGCCACACAAAACAGTTTGTTATATGTTTTCTATATTAAAACTTTTTTTTAGGGATGTCCGAAAATATCAGCCCAATATTAGCATATTTTGTAATATCCGTAAGAATCATTGTCGGTTTTTGTCGGTATATCGTCAAAGAATGAATATTGGACATCCCTAATTTTTACTAATTAATTGCAGATGGACATGTGCTGGGCTCATTTTACACTTTTTCTACCTTTCAATTCAAGAGTGCGAACAGTAGTTTGAATCATGTGTACTATGAATTCTGGTAAAACACTGTGTCAACTACAACAAAGTTGTTTCTGAAGGGTGGGAGATAGTAGGCAGGGGGTGGAAATGGCACCCAGTAGACTAGTCTTTAAAAACATATTTTTATTCTGCATTCAGAGATAAGGGATTCACATCTGTGTGATATAAAATACATATATAAAATAAAATGTTTCATCTGTTCATGTTGACATTTTAAATATGTTGTCCACCAAACTGTGTGAGCAGAATGATATTAAACAAACCTGGATTGCTGTCTCTGCGGTGAGGACAAAGACGACAGCAGACTGACGAGGAGTGGGTCGGTGTGTCATGTCCTCCAGCTGCTCCTAATCAGACCAATAATAGTTTGGACTCAATAACAACTAGTTATGAAATAAACATGGAGACATGTGAAATAATAACTGACTTCTTACGTTTAGATCGCTCACGCTGATGAGCCCAACACTCAGAGCCAATAAGACGATGATGATGAGGAGTTCTGTTGTCAGTTTCATCTGCTGTGATAGCAACATAACCAAATAACAATTGTATATTTTAATGTGAAGTGACAAAATATTTTTAAACCCTAATCATGTGGTTACAAATTAAAATGTATAATGAGTTCCTGGACATACAGTACTGCAGTAATTAGAAGTACTTTTTATTCATTTTTAAAGTAGATATCAGCTTTCTACAGTAGTTAGCCACCTAGCTTCAGCACTAACATTGAATAATCTTACTCCATAATCTGTATAATTGAACAATATTAATAAACTGTTCAGTATAGGTAGTATAGGACGACTCAACTGTCTTACGTTCACCTCTCTTCTTCATCCAAGTCTTTATCAGTTGTAACTGAAGGTTATAAAGTTTTGGTATTCAACCTCAGAACGACTGAACACCTCAACAAAGAGTTGTAGTAAAACAAATGACGACCATGCCCTTATATAATGGATGGAAGTTATGATCACCATCACATTTATCCCATTTCCTAGCACCACTGATTGGCAACCCAACCCATCACATCAGAAACCCACAAGGCCTTGCAAGCATGGTGAATGGATCAAGCTAGAACCAGTTGAAATGATGGTTTCATACAATGTCCCTTCCCTCTTCACCTGCTTTCTAAATTCCAAGCGCTCTCACCCTAGACCAGATTTTCCACCCTCCTGGATCTCTGACCAAACACTACCAATTTCCAGTTCAATGCAGAAACATGGATGCACCCTGGGGTCTCCAGTATCTCCCATCATGGCCAACCTCTGGTACAGGTACAGACCCACCGCTAAAAAGGGAAAATCCGCAAAGTAGAGGCGAGATAGTTATTATATTATTTACGTATATATTTACCCTTTACAAACTCTCTCACACTGTTATCAACCCTCTCTAGACTGTATTACCCTTTCCCACACAATTATATGCACAACTCTATATGCACAGTAGAGTTGTATAATGGAAATATAAGACAAACCTATTCATCGAAGTGTACAGAAAACCCACCTAACCATCAGTTATGGAATAAAGTATAAGGCAGACAACCATAAACATGTCACTTTCTGGTTTATGAATACACACTCTAACATTAATAATGAATAAAAATAGGCACAGTTACCTTGATATAAATTTAAGGATCTTAACTACCAGCACACCACTCACTGTTGGAGCATCTCACTCTCACAAGCAGCACTGCTGCATATTGAATTAGGGCGGACGAGGGGGGTTTCAATGCATTGATGAATTGACATTTTTACCCACCCCTAATCATAACACTGGACCACAGAGCAAGACAAATTCCTTCACAAGAGGGGGCAAGGTCAAGGAACAGTCACACATCAGAGGAACCCTTAGGAAGACCTGTGGCTACCCCAATTGGGCCTTCACCTAATCTAACATCTCCAAAAAAAGACCGGGAGGACCTGTACTTGTACGGATTAACCTACGTTTCTGACGTCTTAACACTCTTAGACAAAAACGTGTTTACCTGAAGGACAATACGGCACCAGAAACAGAGCAATGTGGTCAGGACTGCCCTGACCTCTATATCAGGGAAACCAAACAACCACTATACAAACACATGAAGCAGCACAGCAGAGCCAGTTCAACAGGCCAGGACTCAGGTGGTTTATCTACATCTTAAGGACAAAGGTCACACTTTCAAGGATGGAAACCCTCAGGTTACACCGACCCCCCCATGTGACTTTAACAAGCCCCTATTCACACCTTAACCCTATTGATTACAACGTCCTTCCATTAAAACACTTTACTCTCCTGACTTCCTGTTCAGGTGTTCAGTCACTCTGAGGATGAAGACCAGAACTGTCCAGCAGTCAGTTAGAACTAATGAAGAAGACTCTTGGGTGAAGAGGTAAACTGTCATCTAGAAACCAAGACAGTCTTGGTGTCATCTACTGAACTGCTTTGGATACAATGACTTGAACGAACCTACATAGAAAAGTGTCATCATAAATTTTAGATTTTTTTTATCCAAGCATACCTATAAGACTGACATCCTTTAAGTATCTACATATTTAGCCAAAGACTGCTAGATTGTATACATGATCCAATTAAGTTTTGCTAATAATAATCATGACAAAAGTATGCTACATTATCTCTTTTACTATCTCTTAATTATTATTATTATTAAACTTAGCCAAAAGGCTAATGGGCTAATTGGCATTATGGCTAGTGCTTAAATAGATTATTTTTCATTAAACTGGACAAATAATCTCACTACCAGACTGAAGTAACAGAAGAAAAAAAATATTGTTGATAGTCATGACAAAAGTATGTGTTTTAACTTTGAGTCAAACATCTTCTCTTAAATAGCTTTAAATAATAAAGAAAAATCTGAATTGAGTTTAAAACTTTTATTAATGTTTCCCTGTGTGCTGGAGGAGAACATGGTGAATGTAGGGTACAGTTTGGTACCAAAATTTAGGAACTGTAAAACAGTCACTGCTCCTGGTCATTATTGTTCTTGTGACCAGTTTGTTTAAATTTTTCTGTTTTTTAAAAAAACTTCCAAAAGTCTGAGTTTTGTATTTTGTATATTTTTTTTGGTTTGCAAACCACACAATAACAATACTTTAATATGTGACCATTAAAGCTGACTTTTTTTTTTTTTTTGCAGATTGATGAAGCAAAATGTTGGTTCTTGTTTCAATTAGTTATAACTCATCATTAACAAGCATTAGCAAGAGAAGTTCTGCTGCTGGACAAAGACAGTGGACTCAAGTATCTGTCCCTGGCCTGTGTTCTCTCTCCCTGGTCAGACTTTGAGCGTGAACATCGGCTGCCTTCTCTGAGGGGAAAGTCTGAGCAAACTTGATCATCAGAGGCTAAGTCTGCAGTGGTGGCTGCTTCAAAAAGTTAATTGCCAGTCTTGGTTTGCCTAGTTTCATGACTGTAAATGAAAAACAAGCACATGTATTAATTTTACACCTGTGTGTCAACCAGTAATGCCTAGAAAAGCCTAGTGCCTGCCTTACTACACCAGTTTCAAAAGGATGGAAACATATTTGATATTTTGGATTTCATCTCAGTGTGAAAGATGAGACCTTTGAGCTGAAAGAAAAAACATTTTAAGCTCACAATCTGGGTTGTTAAATATATATATATATACAATATATTTTTTAATTCTAATAAACAGAGCAAGCATGATCCCCTCAGTAATATTTATTCTTCCGAAACTAGTGTTTACCTGTACTCTTCTGCTGTAGTTTTGTTTGTCTGACTTTGTAGACAGATTCTGGCGGTGACTGGGCTGTTCGTCTGACTTCGTTGAAGTCATCAATCGGACCTTGAGCCTCGCATCTGACCAACAGATAGTAAAGGAGACTGAAGCCATAGCATTGAAAGGATAATACAGCATGTATACAGTGTGTATATGTGGTTATTTTTCACCAGACCAAACACACACTTTGTATAAACAAACACACAAACACCTACTGATGGCTTATGGGGTGTGTGGAGTCCAGCACTTTGAAAGGATCATCGTGATGATGATGAGGTGCGGTGGGGGTGGAGCTTGAAATGGAGCTGTAATTGGATTGCACGGATCCAGTGTGTAGGTCACTGTGTTCATCATCAGACACACTGTAAGCTGGACACAAACCAATATATTTTAATAAGAGAGGGGGCTGAGGCCGTGGGGATGTTTTTTACTGGGTGGGAAAGATGTTATGTATCAATCCAAGTCGTTGGATCGATAAATAGTGATGTTCACATGGTAACGGAATTCTGGGTAAAACTAATGTAAAACATATGGCACACCTAAATGTGGTGCTGTAAACGGACACAGCCACCAGACAACGGAAGAAGAAAAAGAGCATGCAATTTTGCATGTGCCTTGAATGCTCTTGTAGGTGACATAGTGCGATGAGGGTTTGTTGAAATGCTTCTAATTGAGGATGTCCGATATCTGATATGCTGAACACTAAATTTCCAATTACGATATCAACCAATACCGATATAGGGCTAGTAATATTTATTTATTTATCTGTACAAACCACTGTTTGAGTTGCTGGCACTAGCATTCTGCACACAATCCCCTGAATATTTAAATACATTAATTAAATAAACTGCAATGCTGCCATCTAGTGACTTCACTTTCATACACAGGCTTTTATCCCCAAAACTGTTTTCAGGGCACACGTCATTTGACGAAACCCAGACATTGCATTATTTATCAGGTTATCATTATCAGAGGAAAACCTAATAATGATTCTTACAGATCAGATGCTTAAAAAAGTATGCTACTATCAGGCTGATAATAACGATCGGCAAATATCGTCGGACATCTCTACTTCTAATAAACACAGCAGCGCCTGCAGCACAAACACAACTCCGCCACCCGCCTTTTTTGCTCTTACAGTCTGCCAGGTTCTTCTGGTCACGTGACATCATTGTTGTAAAAAAAGTGATTCAACAGTCCTAAAGACAAAAACGGCAAGGAGGCGTTGTCAAATTTTCAAAGTTTTCAAAGTTTGGAAACTGTTATGAGAAAATACCATTATAGGGCACCCAGAATGCTGTTGCCATGTGGATGAAAGGCCGTAACTAGGGATGTCTCGGTCCGATGTTAGTACAATTATGTAAAATCTGTAAGAATCGTTATTGGTTTTTCCTCCTATATTGAAAACCCGATAACACAATGCCTGAGTTTCCCTGAATGATGTGTGCTCTAAAAATACTATAATGCCCCAGCGACAGACTAGTCAGATGCCTCAGTGCTCTGAAGAACTTTTACTGACAATATTAACGTATCGGATATCGTCAAAATGCAGTAACAATAAAATATTTTACCGCTTCGACCTAATGATGTTCCCTGTGCGGACATGCCCTGAGATATACGAGGGACAAGACAAATGTGAGGAACAAAAGTCCGTCAGATCACATTTACATTCATGACATGTGATATGAGCTCTGCTGAAATCAGTTTTGTTTGGTCGGTGATGCTGAGTCTGTGACAAACTGATTGAACTGAGACAGAATGTTTGTAGAATGACAATGGACAGTTAAATTGAACTGAGACAGAACCATGTTTGTAGAATGACAATGGACAGTTATGTCATGTTTATACAATGGACCCCCGAGATACGTGTCTAATCCGTTCCACAACAGCACTCGTGTCTCAATCCGCTCATATCTCGATTGAATTATCCCCATTTAAAAATAACTAAAAACCTATTAATTTGTTCCAGGGATCTGCACCCTACATGTGTGTGTGACCTGCTAAAAAATCCTAGTAGAAAGAGTGAACTTACAATTTTGTCGCAGCAGTTTATTTTGTCTGAGTAAACAGGAAGTGTCCATCGGTGTGTGGACAGTTCGTCTGACTTCTCCAAACTCTTCAGGAGGAGATGTCTTTGCAGGTCTGTTCAGACGGAGAGATATAAACCAAGTTTTACTTTAGTTTAATAAACACTAGTTCTGGTCAAATGACTCAAATTAGATCAGAAATAGCTAAGTTAGACAAGAACGTGTACAAGTTAGTCAAAATATAGGAAAAAGCTAGCACAATTAGTCACACCGTATCAACAAGTAAACCTAATACCTAATACATAAAATAAAATATGTTTTATGTCCATAAAATATATAGACATGTTTTATATATAAAACATAAAACATTTGTTTTATGTTTTATTTACCACAAATATGTTTGAAAAATAATTGACTTGACTATACTTATCCTAATGGAAATTGTAAAAAAAAAAAAGTCCTCTAAATAATAAAATTAGCCAAAAAAAGATCTGAAACAAATCGAATGCAAATAAAAATTTCTTTCTTGGCAAAAATAGAGTAAAAAATAATTTAAATTTAATTTAAAGTGCAATGCCACTGACCACCATGTAATCAGTTAATTATTTTAAATGATAAATGAATGATTGATCATCATTAATTAAAATCTCAGTTATTAACAATTAATACACAGCTACACTCTGTGATTAATCTAATTTAAAGGCTACGATTGTCTGACAGCCTTGCTGTCCATAAAATGTGTTTATATCCAGTGTAGAAAGACGCACCTCTGTGACGCCACCTGGTGGCGAGGACTGCTCCTCTTGGGCTCTTTTAGCTTTGTCCTCAGGTGTTGAACAGGAGGAGGAATGGAGGTAGAATGTGGTGGTGGGGCATTGAATCTGTTACTCCGCAGAGTGCTGCCATGTCCAAGGAAAGATTCTCGATGCTCCGACTCGGCACTTCTTGGTTCCACCTTAAGAGGTGCTGCCGGGCACCTTCTTGACAGAGCTGACAGTGGCTGCCTGTGACTCTCTTTGTCCTCCCAGGACATGGCTGAAGATGGAGGCGCATGTCTGAAGTGTGGATAGTGAGGAGGCTCGCAGCTTGGTTCGTCCTGTATTTTCCTCTCCATCATCTCCTTCAGGTTCTTCATACACTGTCGTACTTCACCGATCAGATGCTCGTTGTACCTTGTAGCCAAACAAGAGAAAAAAAATTGTAGTAATTGTAGTAGTTTGTATCAATTCTGTGGATCAACTGTACATCTTTAGTGAATAAAGGTTCTTCCAAAAGCATTCCCCCCTCATGTGATTTTTTTTTTAATATCAAAGAGGTCATCATTGACTAGGTGAGGTCGACTCCATGTCCTCTTGGAAAAAAAAAAACTAAAAGTCATGCAGCCCGCACTGTGTTCTTAGCTTTAATAGTTAAGTGTACCTTTGTGATGACACCTGGTGGAGAAGACTGGGAGCTACAGCACCAGTGAAATGGCTGCTCTCAGAACCAAGAAATCCACTGTCCATCTCTGGGGAGATGATTCCATCCTGGTCAACAGCAAGAAAACAACGATGATTTAGGTTATTAACTAATATTCTCTAAATGACTCTCTCTGTTCCA